GTGCCTCATTCCGGTCTCTCTTCAACGGGGATGGAAGAAAGGCGACAGCGTCCCTGCTCGTCACAGCTCAGGTGGCCAAGCTGCTGAACATCACCGTGTCGTCCATGGTCAACCCCATCGTGTACAGCTTCAGGCGGCCGGAGTTCCGGCGAGCTCTGAGGGAGCTGTGCAGCAGGCCTCCCACCGACGCGCCCGTGGCACGACATGGCATGCAGACGGCTGTCTTCAGCCTACACATCACATCAACATCAGCACCAACAACGCCACAAGGAGAGCGCCAGCAGGGAGGGGAGGGTCCCAACAGTCCGGATCAAACACAGGCAACTCGTCAGGCAGAGACACCGCCCCAGGATTTAGTGCCACTTCCAGGACAGTGCACACAGCAGACGCCCAAGGCAAACCGGCCCGCGGTTCTCACCATTCAAGCAGAGGTGCACAACAGCCCCCAGCACCACGGACAGAAACCAGGCCCTCCTGAACAACACAGACAGAAGATTGAGGCAAATTCCTCTTCAATGCCAGACACCCCCATGGATGAGAAGCTCACCAGTATCCAAATCCATGTAGATGACTCGGAGATGCCAAATTCACGTCCAGACGCAACACCGACCCAGTACCTTCAGACTCTAAGTCAATAGCCCTAAACACCTTAAGACCATCTTGCTACCTTCAACCCACGAAACAGGATATTGAAAGTGACCGTTGCAGACCGTTGGATTTGTACATGTAGTCCAAGATCAACTGTGAACGCGCGGACAACAACGGACAAGAACTGTGACCAGCTACCGAAAGATGAACACCAACAAAAGCAGTTTTATATATGGACAATGTGTGGACATTGTTTGTGGGTATTATTCTGTTCATCCGGATGCAGAACAGCCAGACAACACTACATGGACAGGTAGGAAACTATTTCAGAATCATTATTGTACCCAACAATGACAAATACAATGTACATGTAGAATGCAATATGGTGACTTACAAAATAATTCATAAAGTCTGGTCTGAACTAAAATGAACAGTGGCTAGAATGGATAAACGCTATACTGGTTGCGAGGACTTGCAACAAATTTTGAGTGTATTGCTTGTAGATATTTTGTTTATTTTTTATTATTATTTTTTTATTTCAGCTTTATTACAACAAATGTAATTGTTCTTTGGTGTTTATGAATTGTTTTTGTCTTCATTGTCAGAGGGTGAACCATAATCACCATGGTTAAAGAAAACAGAATTACTTTTTGAAATCGCTTAGAAAAAGATTAGATTTGTAAAAGAAAAAAAATGCTGTATTTTCAAGTAGCATAGATGTAACAATGAAAAGAAAACAGAGTAAAGTCAGGAAAAAACGTAAAGAACATACATGGATATTACACTTTGTAAATATAGATTTTGTGAATGAGTAATTTACACAAGAAAAGTATTAATATATATCAAATTTTATATTGTGTTCAGCGAGTAGTCATGTAAAGGGATCGTCAAATTTTGGGACAGATGGACAGTGCTCGAATTTTTTCAGAGCACCTAAAATTTTTGATGCACAACATAAGATAAATGTGAAATGTCTTTCAAACCTTAGTACCTCTCTTTAGAACTTGAATCTAAAATTCTACAGCTAATTTCAAACAAGTAATCGAACAAAAGATTTCTTATCTTTGGCTGTATCTAATATTAATGTGAAATATATGTCAAGTACCACTTACATACATTAAGTCAACATAAATTTCATGGTGCACCAACGAACAAAAATGTGGTGTACAGCAGGAATTGATGGTGCACAAAAGTGCATATTCCCAGTATTTCTAGCCTCCAGACCATAGCACGCCAAAAACTGGGGGTTTTGGGGTCTTCAGGGTCTTTGGGAGCTTTTATGTGCTATTTTCTAACTGCATATAGACAACATAGCCGGCCTGGTTGAATTACCCCGTTTTAAGAACTGAGCTTATCAGAAAACAGCCGAAGACCACCAAACCCCCAGTTCTATAAGCCTGCTACGGAGGCTAATCAGAAAACAGCCGAAGACCACCAAACCCCCAGTTCTATAACTAGTATAAGCCTGCTACATGTACAGAGGCTACAGTATTTCCAGCCCTAGTGAAACTTTACTCCAGACTACACGAAAGCCAGCCAGTGTTGCCTTTCCCCTTTCGACCCCCAGAAGTGATGCCCTTTTGCCTAAGTGGAAATATTGTGATCAGATTACGTCCATGCGTTTTTTCTCAATCTACTGTGGCGTGAAACTCCATTCCACCAAATGTGTCACCAATGTTAAGAGCCATTAACTACTGTATTAAACAGTAACAGTAACTGATCTCTCTTTACAACACTTAAGTCTGCCAAGCTTTCATGGCACTGTGTGTGCAGTCTATATATAGGATTATCATATAGCCGGACGGCGTGGACCAATCAGAGGCCCGGATACCCGTGCTGTTATTTCCCGATAACAGCACATGTGGTGTTATGGCGGAATAACAGCACATGTCGTGTTATGGCTGATACCATTATGTTATAGGGTATAGGGGCATGCGACTCTTTCTGTAAACCTTTGTAGCATTTTTCTGTCCAATAAACTTTTTTGTTTAGCTTCATTTGAACTACAATTTGCATTAAATGAAATTATCCATATTTGTTTTAAAGCGTATAATATATTCGAATGTATTTTTATGTATGTATATATATTAAAGCTGTTGTATTTCAAACAGGAATTGTGTTGATTGACAGTTTGGATAGGCTATATGATAATAATTTTAATGCACTGCCTTTTCCTCGTTGTATATGGTGTCATAACTGCATGGGCAGCTGCCATAACCACCTCATAAACCACCTCGTTCGCTTCGCTCACACGGTGGTTTATTCGGTGGTTATGGCAGCTGCTCATGCAGTTATGACACCATATACAACTCGGGGCAGTGCATTAACCCTTTATTATATCATACCCGGGCCGCGATAACGTATCATATTATTAGGATTATACAAGTCATTTTATATTTTACCCAAGATACTATAGAAAGTAGTCTTTATGTATGGTTAATTAATTACATTTTCGTGAGCTGATGAACAATTATGGCGAATGCCGTCTGTAAGCTACTCTAGCTGACCTGTTTTGTAAGGTAGCATGAGTTTAATTCTTTATATAGTATGCATAAATGTATTGCTGGCCTAGCCTGTTTAGCATGCCCTATTTTAGTGCTTTTGTAAGATGGCGTATCTGTTCTCGGTACTGGCTTTCTTGTGCACCTCTCGACTCATAGAGTCTAGTAAATAGGATATGAAGGATATTGCTTAGGTCACTGTTGCTGTTTACATTTAGTCAATGCCCATGAACGTTCATGGTTTAACCCGCAACTACTTGTCTGAAATATTACCCGCGGCCATTTTTTCATCATGTACATATGACCTACGCAACAAGATGAACTTAAGATCTCCTAGTTACTCAACCGTTTTGCTAAGTCTTTCGTTCCGTACTCGACACACCATTGGAATAATCTTGATTTGTCAACTCGTTCTTTAAACTACTGTCATTTTTGAACCGTTCTCCTCAAAACCATTCGGCCTGTTAAGTTCAAATACTTTAGCCATGGTCCTCGTCTTGCCTGTGTACACCTCACACGCCTTCGCATTGGCACCTGCAGCCTAAACCACAGTCTCTTCACACGAGGATTACTCGACAGTCCAGCTTGTAGCTGCGGGTGCCAACGCGAAACAGTGTCACATTACTTACTCCACTGCCCTATGTACAACGCCCAACGCATAATTCTCCTTGGCAAACTTTCCAGGCTCTTAGGACACTCCCTCAACTTTACAGTTTTGTCTGACAACGCCAAAATGTTCCTCCTTCTTCGTGGTAGTCCAGCATGTTCACTCATAGCAAATTCCAACATTTTGATGTTAACCCAACAATTCATCAACACAACAAAACGCTTCCAATAATCATTCTCTGTCATATTTTTCCGTGTCCTACAGTTTTATCTGCTTCATCATTGGGTGGGGAATCGGACTGCGCTCATAAACATTTCAACATCTTTGTACTTTATTATACCATTTCACATTTAGTTATCACTTATTTCCTTGTATTTCATTTATTAAGTGGTAGCGTCAAAATAAGTATTGTAACTTGAGTGCGCTATTACTTTGTCCTGTACTTTGTCCTACTTGTGAAATAAAAAAATAAAAAATAAAAAAATAGTTTGCTTAAGAATTGAACAAATTGAGTTCCTTCAGTTACATGGAGTGTAGAATAGAAGTCAATATATGACTGACTGCCTGAATGAATGCATGAATGAATGAATGGATGGATGAATGAATCAATGAATGAATAAATGACTGAATGAATGACTTGATAAAATTATTTCCATCTGTAGGCTACAGAACGGTGCTTGAATGAATGAATTAATTAACGAGTGGATAAAATAATGAATGAATATCAGACACCCAAAATTGGTGAAATCATCTCTTTCAATCCTTAATTCAAACTCCTGAGCCCGGTAGCGAGTTCCCCTCAGTGATTGCGCGCAGATCAGAACAAAGAAGCAGCCCAGCCCCCCTGGTCTCCACTCAGCACTCTATTAGCGACACATCACGCAGCAACACACATGCCCCATTCAACTGGATATGATTTTAGAAACAGTCAGCTAGTATCCACTAGCTTTCGCCAATGACTGAGAGACCAGAGGAGAAATGCAGGTGGTCTCTCAGTCACTGACGAAAGCTAGTGGATGCTACCTGAAATGTCTGACTGTTTCCCAAATTATATCCACTTGAGTAACTTCTTTTTGGCATATCTTATTACCTGGATATCCAACCTTCATTGACATAACATAATTATTTTATGATCCTGTTTTCATAGTTGTGCAAATAAGTGTAAAGATATAAAAAAGATAACCGATGAAACCAACTTTCACCCTCACCCTCACCCTCACCCTCACCCTAACCCTCACCCTAACCCTAACCCTAACCCTCACCCTAACCCTAACCCTCACCCTAACCCTAACCCTAACCCTTACCGTCCCAGCCAGGTACAGGCTTGCCGGAGACCCCAGGTGTTGGGTAACCCTCGTCCCCCAGACCCATGTGGCTGGCAGTGATCGATGAGCCTGTCTCTGAAAAAGGAAATATGAAATGGATGATAAACACAGGAACTTAGGAAATAGGAAACATAACATTCCAAGTGTTACATCTTTACACATTGCTTAATGTGTCATTTTAGTAAAATTGCATGTCGTTTGCATTACGAGACGACACCATTCAAGAAATCTTTATGAGTTGTAGACTAATGTTTTAACTTGTGTCAGGTGCTGACCTTGACCCCTAACCCCTGAACCTTGACCCCTAACTCCTGACCTCTAACCCTACCTGTCTGCCACCAGTGGTCCAGTACCGGCACTCCCATGACCTCCCGTGTCCAGTGCTGATCCTGACCCCTAACCATTAACCCCTAACCCCTGACCTCTAACCCTACCTGTCTGCCACCAGTGGTCCAGTACCGGCAACTCCCATGACCTCTCGTGTCCAGTGCTGATCCTGACCCCTAACCCCTAAACCTTAACCCCTAACCCCTGACCTCTAACCTTACCTGTCTGCCACCAGTGGTCCAGTACCGGCACTCCCATGACCTCTCGTGTCCAGTGCTGATTCTGACCCCTAACCCCTGAACATTAACCCCTAACCCCTGACCTCTAACCTTACCTGTCTGCCACAGTGGTCCAGATACAGGTACTCCCATGACCTCCCGTGTCCAGTGCAGGGTTTCCGAGTCACAATGCTCTCCCGCCACATAGAAGTTCCTCAAACTGGGAAAGAAACAAATTAAACAAAAATAAAGGCGGAATAACCTACAGTTGCAAATGTGTAATACATTCCAGAAAAAGCACATTGTTGCTACAAATTTTGTGAGAGTTTCAGATGAAAAAGGGGACATTTTGGTTGGGTAAGGCAGAAAGTACTGAGAATAGTTGTTGAAAGAACAAAGAACATTGTTAATGTCTAAAGAACAAAGAACCTTGTTAATGTCTAAAGAACAAAGAACCTTGTTAATGTCTAAAGAACAAAGAACATTGTGAGCAAAAAGCACAGTTTAATCCTGGTGGCCTTACCTCAGTTCTACATAAAGGCACAGTAGCGGAGACCCTAGAGGAAAGGGAAGTGTGGCGGCGTAGGAGTTAGTGTGAGGCAGTAGGACAGGAGATGGTGAGAATCAGAACATTCATGAGACAGAAAAGTTTCTTCAGGTTAAAAGTGCAGTCATTATGGTGAGACCAACAAATGGAAGAAAAGTCGAAGTAGACAGGTGGACACTAGTGACACGAGGCTTACCAAAATGCCTAGGGCAGTGAAAATATAATGTAAAGGACTGCGGCAGCCATTAATTGGCCACAAGGTAGTTACTCGTACAGAGTTGACTCTACAACGTTAACTTTCGAATATGATAAACATAAAAATGTTTAGACTATAGATTCCTTTGTGGAATAAACACGATGGCTGTTCACAGAGTTTCATGGTAATATGTACTTTCAGGAAAGCTTGTCAATAAAATAATCTACAATGGAAAAGTGTTCCTAACTCACACAGCTGTTGCACTTACTGTGTGAGAGGGTACTGCTTAGCAAGCTCAGCATTGGGGTCCTGAAACAAGGATAGAAAAACAATCTTAGTTTACTGAATACTTAATTAATAACAGCACAGGGCACCAAGTTTCAAAAAGTATAAAGTAGCCTGTCAAACGGCTATTCCAGCCTTCTTAGAATTTAGAAAAAGGTAAATTATTCGTGAGTTTGTCTCATTTTCATCTTTCAGCTACTTGTAGTAGATACATTTGGTAGGCCAAACATTTTCAACTTCTCTAGGTTTGAGAGCAACCTTCTAAATACAGTTTCAGTTTCTTGGGATGCCCTTTAGTCCTTAAGAGACTAACCTTCCAGGGCTCCTACACAAGTTACATACAGGTACAGAAACAGGCGTTTACAATCACATTTTTTTATTTTATATAATTATCATACAGTATTAAAAAAAGTTTTGAGGGATTACACGTAGCGTAAAGTCTTATTTATCATAAAATCATACAAAACATACAAATTCTATATAAAGAGTAAGAAATGGACGAGCTGTACTTAGCAGAGAGTCCGTACCTCCTTGCGAATAGCCCTGATGGCTGTGGGCGCCGTGAACATCCCGGCTGTCTGGTGCTGACTCATCACGCGGAAAAACGCCCCCGCATCCGGCGTGCCGACTGGCTTGCCCTGGAAAACACACAGGGATATCAACAATAACTAGAAAGGCAAAGCAAATGCATTGGTCTAGCCCAACAAAATACTGTTCTGTCATAAAAGTTCATCTGTGTTGGTAGTTACATGTTTAAAGTTAAAACTTTTGTTCCAACACAAAGAATTCTCTCACCTAGAGCTTTTGCGACCAGTCGCTCTGGTCTTCCTCAGTAGACTGACCCAGTGAAGTTTGTCACTGGGTCACCCGAACATTTTGTTTCACTTGACACTGTACTCGAGTAAGGACTTTAGACACTGAACAAGACTATTTCCTGAAAGGGGTGAAGGAAGCCATATACATCAGGGCCCATCACCCTACATTGAACCGCGACGGGGGCCGACATCGTCTACCAGATACCTTTGACCCAGTGTTGATGTCTTCACACTTTAAAGAAGCCACATGACAAGCCTCACTGGGTCAGTCTACTGAGGAAGACCAGAGTGACTGGTCGAAAGCTCTAGGTGAGAGAACTTCTTTGTGTTGGATCTAAAGTTTTAACTCTAAACATGTAACTCAACACAGATGAACTTTCATATTAGAATATCAAGTACAGGTATGCAATAAGTGTGTCACAGGATTGCACCAGGTGTACCACAGGTGTACCAAAGGTGTACCACAGGTGTAACCAGGCCTTACCTCGTACATGACTGTTGTGTTCCCATGTAAGAGTGGTGCATAGCAGATGTACTACAGGTGTACTACAGATGTAACCAGGCCTTACCTCGTACATGACTGTTGTGTTCCCATGTAAAAGTGGTGCATAGCAGATGTAGGAATGTCCGACGACCCAGCCCAGGTCTGAGGCCGCCCACCACACCTGTGGTAAAGGAGGGGAAAACTTCAAGCAACTACAAAAAAATTCAGAACCAGAATCGTTTTTTTCTTTTGCAAATCAGAAAAAAATGAAGAGGCGAATCTGAGAACCAAATTAAATTGGTGTGGCCTTATATGCACTTTTGCAGTGCCCAGAACTATATTGTAACCCTGCCCACCCCTGTAGCCTACCTCCTGTGGTTTGATCCCGTAGATGTTCCACATACTCCAGTACAGCATGACAGCATGACCTCCACTGGGACGTACCACTGCCTAGAAAATGGGGGGGAACAAAAAATTAGAATATGGCATTCAAGTCATCATATACTGTAGCTTGTTTCTTTACTTTCATTTCATATTAACATCTTTTCTTCACTTCCAACCTCTTTTGGGTCAAAGAATTGAGAAAAAAGACAAAACAAATGAAACTAGAAAATAATCACAAATGTTTTGTATGAAATAGAAGTGAATAACAGGATAACCTGAAAACTGGACTCAAGAATTTGGAAATTGAAAACATAAAATAAACATTTCTTTCCATATATTATCTAACGGAAATAACGGTCAACCGATGATACTGATGATCTAACAGAGCCCTAATCTGAAAGAGTTGTTGAATAGGGACACCAGGCACCCTATGGCTGGCATTGGGAAGGCCATGAGGTTTCTGTGAGCGATGGACCAAAAACTACTATATAGAGGTCGTATTAGCCACACAGTGATTATAATACATCATCACCCTTGTGGACTCCATTCATATAAGTTATTATAACACTGATAGTCTGATGGATATCCTACTAAAACAAACAGACAAACAAACAAATCTGATGTACCTTGGGCAGGCCTGTGGTTCCTGAGGTGTACAGCAGGTACAGCGGGAACATGGCGTCCACAGGAACACAGTCGTGAGACCTCGCGGCCGCCATCTCCTCGTCCCAGCAGCACCACAGGTCCGACGGGAGCGATACCGAAAACTGCAGTGGGAGACCAAACACGTTCTTGGTTACACTGAGCAGTTCAACTGTTGGTACATTAATATGTTACAGAATAATTTTTGTATACATGGGAGGGGGAGGATGGAAAAAATAAACAAAAGAGAGATGGGAGCATACGAAAGAAAGAGAGAGAGAAAGAAAGAAAGAAAGAAAGAAAGAAAGAGAGAGAGAGAGAGAGAG